TGGGGGGCGGGGTCCAGGTCAGCACCTGCCGAGGGGAGCCCGGGGGCCGTGAGGCGTCCCTGCTCCTCTGAGCCCCGGCGACCTCCCACCTCTAGGCAAGAGCTGTCACCACGGCAGCTCTGAGGCGCCCCTCCCGCTGACCTGCTCTGGCCCCAGCCCTGCGCAGGGCACCTGGGCCAGGCCGCATGGTCGCCAGTCCCACGGCTCCAGCTTCTGCCTGGTCCGTTCTCCCGCCCTGCCCCCGGGGACCGGGCGACCCTCTCCAGGGAGGCACGGGTCAGGGCCAAAGACACCTGGGAGGCCCGTCGCCTCCGCCGCCCCCCAGTTTCCCTTCCTCCTGATGTCACCTCCATGGGGCTGCCCCTCTCGGCCCTCCCGCCCTGTCCCGGGAGCTCAGGAGGCTGGTGGCCCGTGTCCAGCAGGCAGGACGCTGAGGGCCCGGCTTTGTCCCAGTGCCCAGTGCCAGGGCAGGGCCCACGGGGTGCGGGGCCCCGTAAGCCAGGATGGCGGAAGGGGTCTGCTCCCTGCGTGGTGAGGGCAGGCCCGCAAACACGCACTCTGCTCCTTCCCAACCGCTTCAAAAGGAAGGGGCAGGCGGCTGGAGGCTCACGCCCACGTCCAGAGGCAGCAGAGGTGGCCTGTGTCCACTTGCCCCCGGCAAGGCCCGCCTGAATAAGGGGAGGCGGGGACGCTCAAGGGAGCCTGCACACCTGGCCCCTTCCAGGGCGGGCAGCAGGGCCACGGGGGGCCTCAGCCTGAGCCTCTGTCCCCTGACAACTGGACGACTTTGGGACGGAGCCGGCTCTGCCCATCCTCAGGGCCCAGCAAGCAGGGATGTGCTGGAGGATGTTCAGGGGCAGGGCCTCGGGTCTGTGTGGGCCCCAGTCCCCTCCGCCTCAGGCCAGCACCTCGCGGGGCCCCGGGGGGCAGGCAAAGATCCCAGACGGCGGGATCAGGATCCCTGCCGGTCTGGCCGTGAGGGGAAAGCTCTGGGTGCGAGATGGGTGGGGCTGACACATGGCCTGGCGGCTGCCCGGCTCCTGGGGGGTTGGGACCCTCCCAGCCGCCTCCCTACCACCTGTACTTCGCAGCCTTGGAAAGCCGCTTGGGGACTCCACCCCTCGGCGCTCCCCCAAACCTGCATTTTGATTTCTCAGGAGCAGGTGCCCGTGGGGCCCCCCAGGAGGTGCACTGACCCGGGCACAACCGGACAGAGGCAGATGGGGAAGGTGCACGTGTCTGAGCGCCGGGTCCCCTACACACACGTCCACACGCCCTGGCGGCACACGGACGAAGCCACGTGAAGGTGCCACAGCTCCGTGGCTCTGGCCCAGAGTCCAGCGCCGTCCCACGACCTGACGGGGCGTCCTCACAGCCATGCCCCAAAAGTCATCTCCATGCGGCAGACGCTAACCACTGCCAGTCCTGGGCCACACCAGATGCGGAGCGGGCTGAGGGCCAGGCCCTGAGGCGGCCGCACGGAGGAGCAGACGCACCGCCCAGGATAGCCCACGGCAGAATGTGGCGAGAGGCCACCGGGGCAGCTCTCCGGCCTCACGCTCACCCTGCGCCCTGCTCCTGGGCCCTCGTGAACCACCGCCCAATCCCCTCGTGAACCTGCCGCCCAATCCGGACCCGGGGCCAGGCCCCGAACTAGACCAGCTCCCTGGCAGGTGTTGGGAGTGGCCTGGCCCCGAGGATGGGCTCTCATCGGGGCCAGGCTGGGAGGACGAAGGGACCCAGGGCGGCTTCTGCTTCTCCGGGAGGCCGCGCCCAAGCTGGGCTGTAAGGGTCGGAGGGAAGGGGCACTGAGTGGAGAAGCAGCGTGTCCGGGGCGGGAACGCCCAGGCGGCGGGCTGCATCCAGCTCCCGGCCTGCTTCTGCACCGCCTGCGAGCTAAGAACGAGCTTGCGTGTTTAAGTGGCCGGAGAAGTTTCTAAAGCTGTTTGTAGCAGCTACACCCGTGACTGCCAATCACACCTGGGGACGACCAGCGCCCTTCAGCAGGCGGGGCACAGATGAACTGCGGACCAAGGCGTCCTTCAGCAGGCGAGGTACAGATGAACTGCGGCCCACGCAGACACACCTGGGAACGACCAAGGCGTCCTTCAGCAGGCGAGGTACAGATGAACTGCGGTCCACGCAGAAACACCTGGAAACGACCAAGGCGTCCTTCAGTAGGCGAGGTACAGATGAACTGTGGCCCACGCAGACACACCTGGGAATGACCAAGGCGTCCTTCAGCAGGCGGGGCACGGATGAACTGCGGTCCACGCAGAAACACCTGGAAACGACCAAGGCGTCCTTCAGCAGGCGAGGTACAGATGAACTGTGGTCCATGCAGACAGTGGAAGATTACTCAGCGAAAACGAAGTCAGTCATCGAGTCAAGAGAAGACCCTGGAGGCGCCTCAAGTGCGAATCACTAAGTAAGGAAGCCGGGCTGAGCAGGCCACAGACTGTGTGCCTCCACGTTCTGGAAAAGGCAAAACCACGGAGACAGCGAGCGACCACGGAGCTGGGGTGTTCAGGGCGTGCAAGTGTTCCGTGGGACGTTGACAGTCGCATTTGTCAAAAGCCACAGAACCATACGACACGTGAGGTGAACCACGGACTCTACGGCCATAACACACGAGCACTGGTTCATTACTTCTAACAAAGGCACGCCCCCTCGTGGAGGGCCCAGGGACCCAGCTCCTCTCCCTGCCTCCCCTCCACACGGGCGGGTGCACGCACATGGGGCAGGGGTCACCTCCCGCCCAGGTCCCTGGGCCCCGGTCCCGTCGGTGTCCCAGAGAGCAGGGCCCCGTCTGGGCCTCTCTGGACTCACGGCCCTGACTCTGGGTGACGGTGCCCACGGGAAGCAGCTCCAGCCTTGGGGACCTCCTGACTCAGTGCCACGTCTGCACCGGTTACGGCTCTGGGCAGTGAGCGGAGAAAGTAACCGTCCCTGAACACCAGCGGTCGGCAGGGCCCGGACAGTGCTCAGAGCCGCAGGTCAGCGTAAGGCACAGCAGGGCCCCAGGGGCACCGGCGCCCTCACACGAGCCAGACCTCGCCGGGGCCACGACCCACAGGACCAGCCCCGTGGGGAAGGCATGTGCCCATTCCCCGACGGGGACACCGAAGCCCGGCCTCCGTGCCCGCAGCCCTCACTGCGGCGGGAGCCGAGCCAGGTTCGGGCCTCGGGAGACTGGGGCGAGTGAATCTAGGACTGGCGAGGAGCCGGGTGGTGGCCCGGCCACACCGCGCATTCACAGCGTGACGGTCTCTGCGTGGCCCCGCAGGAGGACGCCACCACATCCCCGCTTTACAGCCGGAAGCTCCGGCTCAGCAGTTAAGACAGGCACAGTGGCCACGCCGGCCACGAGCTCGGTGTGACACGTTCTAGAATCTGTGTCCGGCATCTTGCCTGTCGCCCGAGTCCAATCCTGCAAGGCCCTGGGTTAGGCCGGGCCCCGACGAAGGCCAGGCAGGGAGGAGAGGGGCGGCCGGCAAACCCGCCTGCCCGCCGGGCACCGCAGGCTCAGAGCTGTGCCCTGTGGCCGTTCTTACGGTCAGTCTCCTCCTTCTGGCCATGGGGCGCTCTCCGTCCCCGGGGCTTTAGAGGGGAGGAGAGGAAAATTCCTGTGAACCACAGCAGACAGGACGGCAGGGAGGAGAAGCAAGGCCGTGAACACGGCCTGCCCACACGTGGAGCTTCTGGGAGCTCCCAACCACCTGCTCAGCTCAACAGGCGTCCTGGCTGCCAGCACACGCGGGACAATCCTTCCAGGAACGCTCTGAAGGCTCCAGCCCCACCCCTCGGGGGAGCAGGTAGGCAGGGGGCCGGGCCCTGCGGGAAGAAGCTGGAGCTGAGCTCCTGCCTTCCCTTGAATGGAACGGCGCCGGCAGGCAGCTCCCACCCACGCGGCAGCAGGGGCCGGGCCGCAGCTCCCCGAGCAGAGCCCGGGGGCTGAGCCCAAGCCCTCCATCACCCCGGCACACACCTGAGGGCCCTCACCTGCAACAACGCAGCTATTTCTAACTCTGCCTTCAACCCTCCTCCTGCCTGGAAAATCACCTTTGGGAAAATAAAGTCAACCGCCGTGACCTGAGATCCTTCCCCAGCCCGGTCCGCGGCCGCGGGAACCTGTGCGCCAGCCTCAGGTGGCAGAGCTGGGAGGCAGCGCGGGGCCGGCCTCTGCTCCCGCCAGCTCACCCAAGACCCTTCCACGGAGGCTCGGCTCTCCAGGGAAGCCCTTCTGAGCCCCGGGGCCAGGGTGGGAAGGGCCCTGAGTCCCCCAGAGTCCAGTGAGCTGGCCAAGGGGGTCACAGCTGCCGCAGGCCGAGGCGGCTCAGCGCACCTCCCCTCCCCCGCGGGCCGCGGGCACCCTGCATGGCGCAGCCGGTCTGCGCTGTGGACCTTCTCTCCGGCTGCTCCCCGTCCTCAGCTCACCCTCTGCACCTGCCCTGAGCCGGTGGGCAGGCAGCAGCTGTGGGCAAGGTGCTTCCCGTCTGGGACTCAGTGCCCTCGGGGACCAGCAAGTAGAGATGCCAGTGATCTGCTGAGAGTTCCCGCCAGCAGGGACCCCCCAGCCTGACGGCCCTTGGCCGCGGGAGCGGCACAGGTCTGGCAGCTCTTCTCCCTCGGCCTGTCCGCCGCCGTCCGGCTGCACGCCTGGCAGCACCAGGGGCACCTCCCTGGCCCGATCCTGACTTTCACCCCGTTACTCAGCCCTCCCGCGGGCACTGCTGACGCTGGAGCCCCCGCCCTGCTGCCCCCAAGGGACGGGGCCAACGCCAAGGAGGAGGGCCGTGAGGGGCCTGGGGGCGGACGCTTCCTGCGGGGGTCAGGGCTGCGGTGCCAAGCTCGGGGAGGCTGGCTGCCCGTCGGGGGGACGTCGGCGTCCTGTGCGCACGGCTGTGTGCAGTGCCTCCTACCTTGAAGATGAGGCAGTCGGTCTTGTGCTCGGCGTACATGGAGGTCAGCCGGTACTGGTTCTCTGTGGTGATGTCCACCTGGTAGCCCGTCAGTGTGTAGCACACCTTCCGGAACTCCTGGATCTTGGTCTGGAAGACCTCCTTCAGCCTCTGGTTCTTCAGCTCCGCGCTCTCCACCTGCTTCTTCAGCTCTGAGGGGGACGAGAGAGGCAGTCAGCTCCCCAGCCAGCGTCGGAAGGACAGACGCAGAAGGGCAGAGGGCGCCGGCTGAGGGGCGAGGAAGCCGCAGGCGGCTCCTGACGGGGAGGACGAGCCGGGAAGCAGCCCGGGCTCACCCCTCTCCTCCAGGCAGGGGCACAGATGGGGAGTCTCACCCGAGACTGCAGCCCTGGGTCTGCCCGCACCAACCAGACGAGCCGACAAACACTTCCCCGTATGCAGCCGAAGCCCTGCCAGGGCTGGGTGTCCAAGCCAGCTGAGAGGCGGCGGGGCGGGGGGCTGAGAGAGCAGAGGTCATCTGAGATGTGGTCCCCACTGCCCGCCCAGAGCCCAGACCGCTGGGAGAAGACAGGCTCCCTGGGTGGTGGGGTCTGCGAGGGCACCCCTGGGCCCACCATCCTTTACGCCCCAGCCCTGTTCTAACTGGGTGGCTCAGGACAGAGACCCTCAGGCCCGTTTGCTGCCCCTGCCAGGTGTACAGCCGCGCGGGGAGAAACCAGCTGTGTGAAGCCATCGGGAAGGCACGTAGCAATTCCCACAAATCCTCCACCCAAGGTGCCTTCCCAGTAATTAAACCCTGATTCATTCCCCCGTGAATTAGCGAAGCGGCTCCACTCAGCGCACACGAGTTGCCTCCGAGGCCAGGTGCTTCCTGGTGGTCCCATCGGGAGCCGCCCAGGGGGTGTGGAAAAGCCCAGGCCTCGAGCCGTCAGCCTGGTTTGAGTCCTGCCCTTCCCGCCCTGTGGTGGGGACAACCGTCCTCCCTCCTCACGCTGACCCGCAGGACCCAGCGTGTCTCGTGCTGGTTTAAGACGAGCAGATGCAGTCAGGGTCACCTGCAGGGAGCCTGCGTTCCAGGAAAGAGAGACCCCCCCGCCCCGTTCTAGACAATCAAGCTGGACGCCACAGGGCCAGAGGCTGAGGATTGGGGCGGGGGGCTGTTCGGCTACCCGACAGGCCCCAACACGCTCTGCTGCCGCCACGTGGCTGCGAGGCGGGTGCAGGGTCTCTCCCGCCTCACAAGCATGGACACAAGCGACTGGCGGCTTGGCCGCCGATCCACGGCGGAGGTAGGGCTGTCTGCCCCCAGGACCAAACTCCCGACAACATTACCACCCTAACCTCTCACACACTCTGTAACGTGCCAGGGTTTTGCACACACATCCCAGGTCCTGTCTCCACAGCCTGCAGCTCTGTGGGCAGCCTGGTATCGGCCGCCCCCCAGCTCTGATGCTAGCACTGCGCCCTGCAGCCTCTTCACGGCACCTGTGTTTCTGGCTGGCCGGCTGCCTGCCGCCTGCCCTGCCCGGACTGCCCCCATCCATCACCCGGCCCAGCGGCCCTGCGGACACTCTCGTTCCGGAGCTGAGGGCCTCTCCGTTGGGGACGTGGGCGTGGAGCCTTTGATAGATCGAGTAATCAGACTATGAGATCAAAAGGGTAACGGGCAGCTCTGACCCCACGTTCTTCCCTTGTCTCTCAGCCAGACCACCTAGGATGGACGCGTCAGCAGGAGGAAAAACTCACTGACCGAGCGCGTGCGGTGACGTGTCCCCGTGTCAGACGGCACTGCCTTGAGTACCTCTCAGGGGTCCAATGGGAAAAATTAAAGTTTGGTCATAAATGCAGCCCGATCTTGGAGAAGGGAGCGTCCCCTCTGCCCTCAGGCATAAAAGGCCGTCTGTTCCGCAGCTCACAGACTCCTACGGGGCCTCCCCGCTCGGGGGAGACGTGCCCCCTGCCGCGCTCGGGGACCATGCTCTGCGCATCTGCCGCGTGCCGGCACAGCGTGGCCCTCACAGCCCACGAGGCGGGGCCAGAATGTGGGGCTTGCGGGGGGCTTCCTCCAGGTCACAGGGGCTGCCAGAGGCCGAGGGCATCTGGCCCCGGTGGCCTGGTCCACGTGGGGCAGGAGGGGTGCTGCTTCCAGCAAAGCCTGCCCAGAGGCAAGTCCAGGGAAGGGACCACGAGCGCCACTCTGACTTGGGGCACAGTCAGCGTCTTGCCCTCCTGCGATCCTCGTAGCTCAGTCGCTTACATACATGTGAATGAGTGACTCACAAAATGGTTTGGATTAAATAAGAAAAGACAGGACTTCATCCTTGGAAGCGGCATTGCTCTGATTCAGCCTCTCCCAGAGCGAGCTGAGGCTTCCCCTGGTGGGACGGGGGCCTGCGCGGGGCACCCCCAAGACGCTCCTCTGCGGTCCCAGAGGCCAGAGGCTTCCGGAGCCTGCAGTGACCCCAATCTGCGCCCACCGGCAGGCACAGTCACAACTGTCACATCGAGGGCTGGCGGCCAGCCTTGGACCTGACCTGGCAGGGCCACACGCGGGCAGACAGAGCCGGCGCCGCAGACAAGTGGCTGCCAGGGCTCCACTGAGCTCCGGGGCCACCCACCCCAGACCTCACCGCCGTGTGCACGTCCCAGCCCGCTCAGCTGTGCCGGGGACGGGGTCACCAGACACTCGGGCCCAACGGCCTCACGCCTGGGCCCAGCCAGGGGCCCCTCCCCTCCTCTCCCCTGCCCTCCCCGCCAGCCCAGGGAGCCGGTCTGCACTGAGATGTTCCTGAGGCCCCCGTGACCGGCCCAGTCTCGGCCGGGCCCTGTCTTGCCTCTCCTGCCCTTTGAATCTTGTCCTCCAGCCCGCTGGCTGTCTCTCCTCTGAGCCGAACCTCCTCCCCCCCCACCCCTGCCCACAGGCCCCTCTCCCTCCCAGGCCCCTCTCGGGGCTCTCTGCAAGTCCCTGGGGAGGGAGGAGGGAGGTGGTGGAGGCGGGGACAGATCGGAGGTCAAGGGGCAGTGCCGTCCGCTCTCTGGCCCAGGCCCCTGGCCTCCTCCAGCCGCGTCCGAGAGGCCCTGGCATGGCTCTGACCCCCACGCCGCCTCGTCATCAACCCCAACCCTCCTGGAATTGCAGGAGGCAGCTGTGAAAGCTCAAAACTAAACTGCACTCCGTTACGTAAGAGAGAGCGCCTCACCCGAAAGCAGAGCCGCCAGGAGGAAGACGCGTTCACGGGCTCGCAGCTCCGGAGATCCAGGTCCCGGCCCCGAATCTGGAGACGGGTTTACCCGAGGGCTTGGGCACAGCCAGCGAGGGGCAGGCAGCCAGCTGGGCAGCCGGCCACGCCAGGCCTCTGCAGAGCCCGGCTGTGCCTCTGTTTTACTGAAAGTGCACCTGCCTCTCAGCCATTCAATTTCCTTCTTATGAGTTTGCAGGCTGAGGGCAGGGTGCGGAGGCGGCAGCGGCGAAAAGGTCTCTGCTCTCGCTCTCAGGTCCCGAGGGCGGCCCAGCCCCGGCAGCAGCTCCCCCTGCGCTCGGTCAGACTCCGGCTCGCTGGCCCACACTCTGGGATGGAGACCCTTCAGAGGGGATCGAAGCCAACAGCCAGCACTGCCCACTACACCCGCTTTGTCCCGGGAGGGGCTGAGATGCACACGCAGACAAGACGGCCGCAGAGATGCTCTGAAAGGTGGGCGAGGCTCTCAGGGGCAGGCCCAGCGGTCCTCTCATCCGAGTCCTCCCTTGCCAGGGGGCCTGAGCCGTACCCACGGGGCGGCCTGTGCCAGTCTGGCCAGCCCATCCTGGTCCTGTGCCCCGTGGACAGACAGACCTCCAGCAGCACCGCCTGCTCCAAGCGCCTCCGTTCTGGGACCCCTCAAGGCCGTGGCTCCCTGCTGGCGGGCTGGCCTGACCCACGTCCGAGTCCAGAGGTTTCTGACGGTACAGCAAGTACCGCCCCCCGCCCTCCCGCCGCTGCAGCAGGCCCAGCCCCCCGTGGGGAAGGCAGCTGGTGTGGGAGAGCGCAGAGCTGGGATGGGAACCCGGGGTCGCCAGACTCCAGGCCCGAGGCCTCCTGCCGCGGCCACCGAGCTCTGAGGGGCCTCGGCCCAGGCCAGCCACTCTGTTCTCGGGGCTCACACTCCGCCCTCTGCCCAGGATCCAGGGCCAGCCTGTCCTGCGTGAGGCCCAAGTCATCTGGACAGGACTCTGAGCTCCTAAGGGAAGCTGTGGCCTAACAGCCCCACCGTGGCCCCTGGCCTCTGCCCCTCCATGTCCACCCGCACTGGCTGCTGCACCCCAAAGGCGCCGCCCTGCTCTCGCCTCAGGGCCTCGGCGGGCGCCTGGGTGGCCTCTCCCACCTGGGCCCTAACCCCCATCCATCGCCCCTGGAGGGGTGTGGCCTCCCACCTTGTTCCCAGTGGGCCCCACCTTGGCGGTCATCGTAGCACAGCAGAGCATTTTAAGACACGCTTGGCTCGACGTCCGCCTCCTCCCGCAGCTACGAGCTCGGCAGGGAGGACCAGGTCCTCTGGCCATGACCGTGTCCCCAGGCATCTCAAGGAGCCTGCGGTGTGGAAGGCGCCGCTTCTCCACAAACTCTCCACCCCACCCCAGAAGACGACCCTGAGGGAGTTTAAGCACGAGCAAGCCCCTGCCCCCGACACACACGTGTTTATCCACGAGCACGTGTCCCTCCTCCTCTCCCTCCTGCAAAGACCATGAGAGGGAGGGGGGCCAGCGGTGCACAAGGGGGGACACGCGTTCCGAGGATGAGAAGCGGACGGGGACGCAGGCAGACGGGTCAGTGGCCCTGGGGGGCGCCGTAGCACAGCAGTGGGAGCGGCCGAGGAACCGGGGGTCTGAGGGTCTGTGCGAGGGGTCACCCCCGGCTCCTCCTGCCCCAGGGCAGGTCCCCCCAACCCCCGGCAGGGAGGAGACCCGAGTCCAACCCCACGCACACAGGTCCTTTTCAGACGCTCGCTTCCTGAGAAGCCAACCTGCAAGACACTGCCCGGAGCCACCTGTGGCCGCCCTCCTACACCCCACTGACCCACACCCCGGCCCTGCCCTCAGTCGTCACGGCTGGGCTGGCCCAGAGGGAGTGACCTCACCGGGTATCTCTCTGCGCCTGGCGGGGGTGGAGGAATAGGGAGGTCTGGCGGCTGAGCTCCCTGCCGAGCACCCCCGCCCGCCCCGCAGCTGGGCGGCGGCCCTTCTGGGAAGGGGGTTGGAGGCGCACCTCTGTGTCCCGCGGATGAGCCCCTGAGAGTGGTCTGCGTCCTCCACAGAAACAGACCAGGGGTCACCAGACGCAGCGGGAAGCTCCTAATGTAAACAATCAAAGAGCCTGGACAAACAGAACATTAGGAACCTGGTCGGAAGAGAGAAGAGCCGCCCCACGCTGGGGTCGGGATCACGCGGGCGTCCGCGGAGGGGCTCAGAGACAGAGCAGAAGACGCCTCCCAGAGACAAACACAGAAACAGAGGTGGAAGACAGCGAAGAAGAGAAGAAACGAGATTCTGGGAGCTCCAACATCCAACTAATAGGGGTCTTACATGAAGAGATTACAGAAAGCGGGACAGAGAAAACATCAAGGAAACCACACAAGAGCCTCCAGAGGCCAAGGCCGCGTCTCCCCGGGCTCAAGAGACAGAGCGTGACGATGGCTCAGAGCACGCCAACGAGCCCTAACCCAGGACGAGAACGCAAGCCTACAGCTGATGGGCGGCCCGCTGTGTTCTGAGCACCAGGAAGCGAGTGGCTCGGCCGGGGGTTCCAGAGGCATCAGACACGTCAAGGGGAGAACCAGGACCGAGAGAATGAGGTGGACAGCAAGTCGTGGACAGAACGACAAAACGACACCTGCCCCGGATGGGAGATGTGGCCCATGGAACGAGACGCCACCCGTTCCAGCCGTAAGAAACACATACAAGGTCAGAGGATCCCAAGTGCTGAACAGTGATTTAACCAAAGGCGAGACAGCCACACAGGGTGCAGTGAGGCAGGGACACGCGTGTGTGCGCGTCCACGTGTATGGCCGTGCACGCTCACGTGCACAGGAGAGCTAGCGCCTCGCCCACCTGAGGACCCGAGAGTCACGTGCACACAGCGTTCAGACACAGGGTACGAGGCCTGGGGGAGCAGGCGGGGCCGCGTCTGCCCCACTCCAAGTCCACAGTCAGCACCTGGCTTTTTACTACCATGAAAAGGACCTTCCCAGCCCCTCGGTGGCCAGGGAGGGAAGGCCACCGCAGTGTCAGCTTCCTCGCGACCCAGGTCAGCAGCAAGGCGGAAGGCAGGTGTCCTCCCTCCGCCCCTCCCGCCCACGCCTGTTCTCGCCGTGGCTGACCACGGTCACGACAAAGCCACGTGGTGACCACAGGGGCTCCAAAAGGGCTTTCGTCCCTGCGATGAGTGACGAAAGCCCAAGGCAGCCTGGGGGCCCCACCGTCACCGAGTGGCTGCTGCTGAGACTGGACCCCCCCCCCCGGCCTCCCCGGATGCGTCCATAAATGGACCCCCAGTGGTGGGCAGATGCCACAGCGGGGGAGCTGGACCAGCCCAGGCCACGGGCACAGGGAACTGAGCCTTGTGCGGGCTGAGGACCAGGCCCTGCGCGCTGCCCGTCTAGGCTGGGCTCTTGCAGTGATGCTGTGTAGGAGGCTGGAAATCAGGGGCTATAGGAGCTTCTGAAGTTGTCTTCTGGGGACTCGGGACAGAGTCGTTTATCTTTCTGAAAAGTGAATAAAAAACACTTAGGCAATGCTGAGATTTTCAGGTTCTTTTAAAGAAAACGATAAAAGGACGAACGCATCCCCGTTAGGAAGAGCAGCCCTGAGCCCAGGCTGAGCCGGCGGCTGCTTCTCAACGTGGCGCATGTGGGTCCGCTCCCAGGACACCAGCCTGAGGACAAGAGGAAGGACTCTGGGACCGGCCGGCGGGAAGGCTGTGGGGCGGGCCAGGGCGCCTGGCGGGGGGCGTGCTGTCCGCTCGTCCAAGAGCCAGGACCACCAGCTCCCGGCTCTGCTCCAGGCCATGAAGGCGGTCGGGGTGCCTCTGACCCCCCGCCCTCTGCTCTCTGGGCACCCTGGCTCCTGTGTTCACGCACACCCCGTCTCCGCAGCCTGAAGGGGTCTTCGGTGCACGGCAGGGGCAGCCGCGGTGGGAGTGATGGCAGCCCATCTCCCGGACGCTCACCAAGCCCGTTCTCCGCGGCCCCCGTTTCCTCAGCACGTCCACGAGGAAGCTGGATGAGTGACTGCTGCCGTGATGGGACACCGAGGCTGGCCCGCCCCTGGGACCAGTGCTTCCTGCTGCCTCTGCTGGACCTTGGCGCCGAGGCCACGGCCCTGCTGCTCTCCTGGGACCCTGGCAGCCAACAGCACATCAACAACCTTGCCAAAGGTGAGCCAGCTGGTGACTCTGGGCCCATGGGCCTCGGGTCTTCCTGAGGTCAACGCTGGGTCCCAACTGGAGACTGGCTGTGGGAATACTGAGAAGGCAGGGGTGCGGCCAGGTTCCTGGGTGAGCTCTGGGCCCTGGAGGATGGTGGGTGTGGGACCAGGTCCCGAGCTGGGCCTCAAGCTGCTGGCGCTGGCGCTGAGGGGGAAAGAGCAGCGACCACGGGCACGCAGGCGGAGCCGAGCCAGGGGCTGGACAGCGAGGCCGCGCGGGATCCCACAGCTGCTGGACGTGGGGTGCTGGGGTGGGAGAAGGCTGCGAGGGGGGGCGGGCAAAACGTGTCCCCACGTAGCAGCGGGGTGCTTGGGAGTCAGTCCCTGCAGGCAAACAGAGGCCAGGGAGGGGCCCTACCCCAGGAGGGGAGCACCCCCACTAGTGTCGGGGCGACGCAGACCCCTCTCACGGAGCCCAGGCTGACCTGGATAAAGAGGCGCTGTGCTGAGCCACGCGGCCCGTCCACTGGTGCTGCCTCAGGCGCCCTTGGCCACTCGCTTCCCCGGGGAGGAGCCGGCCCCCCGGCAGGCCCCTCGGGAGGCAGCCCCGGCCTCCCAGCAGGCAGTAACCAGTGCTGGTTCTGCTGAGGCCCAGAGCGGGGCCACGCTGCCGGGGCCGAATTATCCACGCCTGGTAACTTCTAAACTATTTCAATTCTACATTTTTAAGTACTTAACAATTAGGCATCAAATACTGATGCAATTTTATTAGCCACCGTGGGAGCCAGCACTGTGGGACTGTGACTGGGTGAGGGCCCTGGCCCGGCTGGCCACCTAGAGGGAGGAGATGGTGGGCCACCTTCACAGCAGAGCTGGGCTGCCGCCCGACGTGGCACGAGCCTCCTGCCCATCCTCCTGGACGCCGCCTCCCGTCCCAGATCCATATTCCGGGAGAGGAGGGGGGAGGAGAGGAGCCTGTGTGGTTGGCAGGCGCCGAGGGGCCCAGGGCCAGCCGGCCGGGCAGCTCCGTGGTCCCCGGCTCCCCTCCCCGCACAGCGCTCAGCAAGGAGGCCTTTCCAAGAAAGGGCACAGCGGGGCACCATTGTCCCCCGCAGCCAGCTTCAGTGACAGGGGCCCAGGACCCTGACATCCGCTGGCCAGAGCCTCCTGCCGCCAGAGGGGACGGCTGTGTTTGAACTGCCTGCAGCCAGACGGCCCAGAAGAGGCTCTCCATCGTGAGCCCGTGTTCCCCGCTGGGCCGGAAATTGCACGTTTCACACGAGAGAGGAGACGCTAGCCCTGGAATTACATGCAGATGAGCAGCGCGTGCCCACCACCAGGCCTCCTGGCAGACGGCCGCCCTGGAAAGCACGGTGCCGGCGTTCAGACGGAGATCTCTGTGATTAACTGCTCACTCGCGCGAGCAGCTTGTCACCTTGCACAGAAGCGATCTGAAAAGACACCAGCAATTATGGCCCACCAGATTATGGGGTGGGAGAGTCCCGCGGTGACAGGCGGGCGCCGATGTGACACCACGTTCTCAGAAGACTCCCTCCCCCACCGCTGAGACACAGCAGCTGAGGCCCCAGAGGACGGCCCCTCCCCCCGCCTCGCTGGCTCTTTCGGGAGTGGAGGACCAGCTGGGCCTGGAGGCAAGGTCACCGCCTGGTGCCCACCTGGACTCAGAACAGCCCCGAGTGGGGCACAGACGTGGGGAAAGGCCCAGAGGAGGCCAGTGCCCGGCCCCCGGGCAGCGCCAGCACTGCTGTGAGGAACCGCCCTGAACACTGGGCACCACCTCGGTCACAAAGGTTGGTCTCCTGCCCAGGCCACCAGCAGGGCCCCGGGGAGCCCCGTCTACCCTCTGACGTTACTTAGGCACCTGCTTGGGTGCTGGCCACCCATTTCTCCCGACTGAAGCACCCCGACAAGGGTGGTGACCTGGGCTGCACGGCTTACGGCTGCCTGGGCGGCAGGAACGGGAGACGCTCGTCCAGTGCGGACGTGACTCACTCCGCACGCACTTGCTGGTCTTAGGCTTTGGGATGACCCTATGAAACTATCACCACGTGCGTCCCCACTTCACGGATGGGGAAACTGAGGCTCAGGCCGTCAAAGGCAAACCACCTGAAGCTGCGCTCATACGCTCACACGTGTGTACTCACACATGCACACGTGCGCACGCACACACATCCACACACGTTCACACACATGCCGGAGCCAGAAACCACCCAGAGGAGAGGCACACGACAGCTACGGTGCATCACAGACCCCGAGACGGAACCGGAGAACCCTGCTGTTGAACACGTGGCCGACAACTTCCACGTGCCCCTGCAGGGGGGCTGCCAGGGGCTACCTGGGCAGAGGCGGAGGTTTCTGGTGAGCAGGAACCTACGTGGGGCCCCGGCCTGCTGGCTCGGGGCGGGGACAGAGCACAGGGACGCCTGTCTGCAGGAGGCTCTGGCGCTCTCTCCACTCTGCGCGCCGCATGTATTATTAATTCCTGACAGTGGGCTCACACAAAACTAATTCCCTGGAAGGCGAGCTCCCTCTCAGAGAGGGAACCTTTTCAGAGCTCATCTTTTATTGACTGAGTCATTTTCGAGTCAATCTGTCTGCTTTCGGCAAGACAAGAGTTTTACATCTTCTCTTTCTCTCCTTTGGAGATGTGGCAGTCTATTAAAACCTGCTAACGTGTGCAGCTAGGCCTCAGATCCGAACTGGGATGACTTCCTCGGATGGCAGGAGATAAAGGAAGAGGACCTCGGGAGCTGCTCGGCTGTGGGCTCTGGAAGGAGGGGAGGCCGGGGCGCGCGGGGACAGGGCAGGCAGCCCCGAGGGATCCGGAGGGGCAAGGATGCAGGCTTCCCGGCAGAGCCAGGCCTGGAACGTCTCCCAGGAAGACAGGGTCCGGGATGGGGAGTGAATCAACGAAAAATGCCTGGGCTCTGCCCATAAGAAGTAACGTGCCAGACGCACACGCCCGGCCTGGAGGGCGCAGGAGGTTCCCTGGGGTGGTTCACACTTCACCATCAAGGACAGGGGGGCCCTCCTGCCCCTCTCCGGCCTGACAGCGGCCCTGGTGTCCCACCACACAGGGCCCCATTTCATAATTCACAACTGCCCAGCGCAGCAGGCGGTGCAGGCTCAGGGTCAGCCTCTGCCCGAGGAGGAAGCCGAGGCTCAGAGACATCAAGCGGCTTGCCTGAGGACACACAGCTTTTGGAGGCGGAGCCAGGACCAGAAGCCAGGTTGTGTGAATTCCGCTCCTGGGGCAGGGCGTGGGGCTTTGCCAGACAACTAACCCTGTGACAGCCCGTGGCTCCCCACCGGAATTCAGAAGACGCCGCCAATGCAGCCACCCCGCCCACCCCCCGTCTTCTCCTTCCACCTTTGCCCAGTTCCCACCTCTACAGAGGCCACCCCCGACCACGAAGAGCCACGGCCTCACCAGCACCCGCAAACATCCAGCACAGCAAGGTGAGGGGGCCCCCCCAAGGCCGGCAGGGCTTTTGGAGCCCCCCTGTAGATCCCCCCGGGCCAGAATCAGCAGGAAACGGGCTCTCCCCAGAGCCTCTGGGAGGGACACAGCCCTGTCGGTTTTAGCCCAGTGAGACTTCAGACCCCAGAACCGTCAGAGGACACGTCTGTGTTGCTTCAAGCCACGCAGTGTGTGACTTGTCATGGCGGCCGTAGGGCGCTGACCTGGGAGGCTCGGGACGGCCAGACCTCTGAGACTCTGGGGCCGCGCTTTCCCAGCCAGCAGCAGCAGCAAATGATGGCAGCAGCCCCGGCACCAGAACTTTAGGAACAGCTGCCGGTCACCCCATGGTGCACCGTGTACCCGGCAGTGCTCGGCCAGTCGCCCCAGGGTGTCCCGTGTACTGGGCAGCACTCTAGCCTCAGAGGACAGTCTGGACAAATAGGTAAAAACCTAGCCCTGATGGAAATTACATTCCAACCAGGGACACAGATAAAAACAATGTAAAGAAGTAAGACAGGCGGTATTCCAAAGGCGGTAAGCACCATGGAGGACAAGAAAGCCGGCAGAGGGGCAGCCATGCGAACAAGCCAGGGGCACCTCACCCACAAGGGGAGCCAGGGAGGAACAGCGAGTGCAAAGGTCCTGAGGCGGGACTGTGCTTGGACCGTCCAAGAAAAGCAAGGGAGGCCCCCGACCCAGAACCGTACCTGGAGATGCAAACAGTCTCCAAAAAGAACAGTGAGGTTGGGGGCCTCACGGCGTCAAGGCGGCAGGTATTGGCACAGACGCAGCAGATGGGCCGCGTGGCAGGGACTCTAGACCGAAGCTGAGCCCGGCGACTGATTCTCAAAGCGACCACCGGACACCCGGGTGGGAAGACGAGCCCTGCCCCCTCACAACACGTGCGCGAACTCACTGACGGGACCGTAGGTCTTCACGTAAGAGCCTCTAGGAGAAGGCAGGCGATCACAGCCTCGGGGGAAGCAAAGATCTCTCAGGGCAAAAAAAGCACTAAGCACAGAAGAAAAAACGGACAGATCAGGCTTCACCAAAATAAAAAACCTGTGCGTATCGAAAGGCAGCATTAAGAAAATGATGAGAAGAAAACAATCTAGTTGGAAAATGGGCCGAAGATTCCCACAGACATGTCACCAGGGAAGACGCACAGATGGCTGGTGAGCGGGTGAGAACATGCGGGGCGCCACCAGTCTCTAGGGAAACGCGGCCACCCCGAGACGCCACTTCACACCCGTGACGACGCTCTAATCAGAGTCGGGGAGGAACGGACGTTAGGGAGGACAGAGCGCTCAGGACACGCACGTGGGGCACGCAAAACGGCACAGCCACCTCGAAGACCCCTCGACAGTTTCTCAGAGTTAAACCCAAATCTACCACAGAATCCAGCAACTCCGCGCCACCCAAGAGGAAAGTCAACCTACGACCACACACAGACTCGGATCCCAATGTTCACAGCAGCCCAGGAGTGGGAACCACCAACGTGGGCACCAGCTGACTAGGGACACACAGCACGGCGCACGTATGCAGAGGAGCGCTGCCCATGACACGCAGGAATGAAGCGACAGGGAGGACCAGGCGGTGGGGCCAGAAACAGACGCCGTGTGCTGCGGCACCCCCTTTCTGTGACGTGTCCAGAAATGACCCACCCACAGACAGAAGGCGGGTCAGCGGCTGACACGGCTGCAGGGGGAGCAGACACCGACTGCGAATGGGAAAAGGGGTCCTTCTGCGCTGACGGAAATGTTCCAAAGTTAGATTGCAGGGACGGCCGCACAACGCGGTACATTTACTAAAAATAACCGTACACGTAAAACAGGTGAAGATTGGGAGTTTAGGTTTTCTTTCTTTCTTTTTCTTTTTTCTTTTAGAGACTATTAGAGGAGCGTTAGGTTCACAGCAAAACTGAGCAGAAGCTACAAAGATTCCCCCAAAACCAACACACAGGCCTCCCAGCAGAAGGGGCGCATTTGTTACAGCGGATGAACCTACCCTGACTCAGCCCCAATCACCCCAGCCCACAGCTGACATTCCTGCTCACCCTGGGTGTGGTACCGCCTATGGGTTTGGACAGACGTGTAACACATGTACTCACCACCACGTCACACAGAACAGCTGCACTGCCCTAGGATTCCCCTGTGCTCCACCTGCCCACCCCTCCCCCAGCCCCGGGCCACCACTCACCTCCCTCCTGCCCCCACAGCTCTGCCCCCTCCAGACCGTCCCGTATCTGCAATCATCCCAGACTGGCTTCTTTCGCTTAGTGTCGTGCGTGTAAGTTTCCTCCATCTTCTTCATGACTCGACAGCTCCTTTCTTTTCAGTGAGAATAACATCCTATTGCCTGGATGGACCGCAGTTTAGCTGGTCACCTGCTGAAGGCCACCTCAGTTGCTTCCAGGTTCTCGTGTGGACACCTAAGTTTTCCACTCCTTTGGGTAAATGCTAAGGAGAGTGAGTGCTGGATCATATGGTAGTTTGGTAAGAAACCACCAAGCGGGCGCCCAAAGTGGCGGTGCCATTGTGCATCCCCACCAGCCACGGATGAGGGCCCCTGGCACTCCACACCCTCGCCAGCCTTTGCTGTTGCCACGGTCTGGATCTGGGCCGTTCTGACTGGTGTGTGTGCGGGATCTCACTGTAGTTTGGGGAGTTCAGTTCCCAACGCGCTAATTCTGCGATGCCACGGGACACCAAGTGGGGGGTGTCACGCTGAGAGCTGGGAGCCCGACAGGGACGCACGGGGACCCCACTGACGCTGCAGACACAGCTCTTCTCTAGATGGAGGCCCAGTGGGGCCGCTTCTGCTGGGGACGCTCCCACCCGCCGGTCTCCTGAGCGGGCGGCCTTGCGCCGCTGGCCGCTGTCTCTGTCCCCGAAGCGGTGGAGAGGAGGGCTGGGTGGGGCCCGCCCCGCCCCGCCCCGCCCCACCCCGCCCTTCCTCTGCTGACTG